TGTTTCCCAGGAAAGACTTATTCGGGTTAGTGCATTTACCCATGTTCTTTTATTTCCTAGGTAAATAAGGCAATGGCCATTTTAGCCATAAAATTCATTATTAAAAGCGACATTTTTGTCCCATTCAAGTGTTAGTGACTTCCCCCCAGGTGGGAATACCCAAGAAAATAAACTTTCCCTAGTCCCCAAATATAAATTTGAAAAAAGAACATGGGTTTCTTGGTCAATGGGAATTTCATTCCCATTGACCAACTTACCTCCCTCTCAAAATCCAAAAGAAAGAAGCCCCCTAAAAACTCAATGTTCCCCCCTGATTCACCTTTGGCTTTAAACTAGGATTTTGGGTTTCAAAGAGGTTTAAGGGATGATGAATTTGCTTATGTTTCAGAGCTCTTGTTGCTTCTAGACTGTGTTTGGACCCCCCCAGACCTAATAAAAGGATTTGGTCTCTAACCTCGGTTGGCTCACTTGTGCATCTTTTTTTTTTTAAATCCTTTTGTTCCAACCTCTCCTCTTAGGTTTTCCCTATTAAAGAAGTCTAGTTAAGGCCAATACCTCCTAAAATAGCTGTGTTTTGTTGGGAAGCCTTTTATGGTAAGATCAATACTGTGGAAAACTTGCAAAAGAAGGAACCTTATATGTGCTTGTCCCCAAATTATTGCTTTATGTGTAAAGTGAAGGGTGAGGACAGTAATCATTTGCTGATATCTTGCTCTTTTGCTGCCAATATTTGGAACTGGGTTGTATCATTATTTGGGTGCAGGTGGAACTTTCCCTTCGAAGTAAAGTTGTTGTTTACTCCGTCTGCCTTTGGGAGATTGACAAAGAGAGGGACACTAATGTGGAAGTGTATCAGAGCTGCTAGCTTGTGGACTTTATGGGAGGAGAGAAATGCTAGAATTTTTCGAAAAAAGGAAAGAAGTCTTGCTGAAGTCAAGGAGTGTATTAATGAGGACAGCCTCTTGGCAGAAATCTTTAGACTTGTTAGTGGATTACTCCTTTGATGATTTAAGGAGAAATTGGGCAGTAGTGACCAAGGTTTAAAGTATCGGAAAGATAATTTTAAGAGACGTATCGGGATACACTTTGGATACGTATGGATACGGACGAAAAATCAAGATACGCATAAATATGCTAAAAAGCTCAAATAAATCCTAAAAAATATATTAATAACGATAGTTACAAGTTTTAGATGACTATAAATAAGTTATTTAAAAGTAAAAAACTGTAATTTAATGGTCTATATAAAATTCGAGATATCGAGACACACTTAGTAACTATTGACAAATGATGGAATAACTAAAACGTGAAAAAACAAAAAAGAAACTAAAATGTATATTGATATACATTAGTTTTAAAGTAATCAATATAATTTATCTTAATATTTATTAATACATAAATTTTAATAATTAATTCTAACATTTATTGATAAGTATACACTAAGAAAAAGAGAAATTACTTAAAAATAAAAATGCATAAACAAATATCAAGCAAATGGGCATGGCTTAGTGGTGAACCTCTAGTTCTTAAAGCTTAATGTCTAGGGTTTGAATATTGCTATTGCTAATTTGTAGTTTTATACTAACAAAACAAATTTAATGAGAAAAAGGGTTATCAATTAACGAAATTAATGAGAAGAGAATTCCAATTAGGCGTTAAAATTGAAATTCAAATTTAAAATTATGCATTAATTATAGGAGTAATTAACTAATTAATGAGAGAGAAGTTCATTTAAATATAGGAGTAAATATAAAATTAATGAGAGGTAATTCGCCCTTAAATATAATTTAATGAAATTAATGAGAGAGAAGGGGACTTGTATCAGGCTGTATTGGACTGTTTCGGAACCGTATTGGCCGATACAGACCCAAAACAGTCTGATATAGGGCCCGAAACGGTCTGATATAGACCGATACATACGACAAGTAACGCTATATATAATTTCTATGCGTTCCGTGTATCGGACTTGTCTCGGAACGATACGTATCGACCGATACGTTGCGAAATTTTTGAACCTAGTAGTGACATCCACAACCTCCACAAAGAACAGACCATGAGCAAATTGGAAACCCCCATTGGAAGGAATGGTAAAATTGAACTTTGATGGAAGATTAGAGGATTTTTGGAAACCAGTGGTGGAGAGATTGACAAAGAAATTGGCTATGTGGAAGAGAAGCTACTTATCCCTTGGTGGAAGGATAACTTTAATAAGAGCAACCTTAACAAACCTTCCAGTTTATTTCTTGTCCACCTTTAAAGTCTCGGTGACGGTAGCAAGGGAGCTAGAGAAACTTATGAGGGACTTTCTTTGGGAGCTTGGGGATGAAAAGAGAGACCGCCTAGTAAAATGGGAACAAGTTTGCAAGACAAAGGAAAAGGGAGGTCTTGGGTTGGGGAACCTAATTCAAAGAAATACTTCGTCACTAGGAAAACGGCTTTGGAGGTTTCCATTGGAACGAGACAGGCTGTGGCACAAGGTTATTGAAAGCATTCATGGGCTGAGGAATAATGGCTGGGATGCAAAGGTTACTCCAACATCAACCTTGCACTCTCCTTGGAAAGAAATTCAAGAGGTATATCCATTTTTTTTTTTCAACTTCATTAGATTTGATGTGGGTTGTGGTTTTAGGGTTCTGTTCTGAGAAGATCTTTGTCTAGGTGACTCCTTTTTGTTCCCTTTTCCCCGATCCCTACTTGATTTCTAACTATAAGAAAAGACCTATCTCAAGTTTCATCTCCTTTTCTCATTCTGGTGTGAGTTGGGACTTTGGTTTTAAGAGAGGTTTAAGGGATAATGAGTGTGAAAGCTTATTACTCCTGTTTGACAACCTCAATTCAGCTTTTCTTGTTCAATCTTTGGAGGACACTAGATTTTGGTCCACCTCTTCTGATGGTTCCTTTTCCTGTGCTTCTTTTTTCAACTCCTTCGTGCAATCTTCTGGGGGGAAGAGGATTTCCTGGTTAAAGAGGTTTGGAGTAAGCCCATTCCACCCAAAATTCAAGCTCTTTGCTAGGAGATGTTCCTTGGAAAGGTGAGCACCTGTGAAATGCTTCAAAGGAGGAGGCCGCGTATGTGCCTCTCCCCTCATGTGTGCTTTCTTTGTTTTGCAAATGGTGAATCCCTTTCTCACTTACTGATCCACTGTCCTTCTATGCTCTTTGTCTGGGTCTGGGAGTCTTTTTGCTCTCTTTTTGGTTGCTGGTGGAGCTCTCTACAGGATGTAGTGAGCCTCTTCAATCCAAATTTCCTAAGACAGCTGACAAAGAAGGGGAGAACTATGTGGAAATCAGTGAGGGTAGCTATGGTGTGGACGATTTGGGAGGAAAGAAATGCAAGAATATTCAATGGAAAGTGCAGATCAAATGAAGAGTTGGTGGAAACTATAAAGATAAAAGTCGCTCATTGGGTAAAAACACTTGAGCAGTTCCCAAAGTTTCTTAGTGGCTGATATCTTGCGGGCTTGGAAAGAAGTGGCCTCTTCAACTAAGAAAAAAGAAAAGATGGGGGATTGGATGGAAGCCCCCAGCTTCAAATAAGTTAAAGCTGAATATTGATGGAAGTTCCATAGGGAACTCAGGATTGGTAGGAATAGGGGGTGTTTTCAGAGATTCAGCAAACAAAGTGCTGGCTATGTATTCAGGGCCTATAGGGGTTGGAGACTCAATAAAGGCTGAGCTTCATGCACTTCTTTAGGGGTTAAAACTAGCCAAACAAGCAGATTTTAAAAACTTGGAGGTTGAAGGAGATTCAAAACTGGTGATTTCTTGGTTCAACTTCAGAGGTAATGCTCCTTGGATTTCTAGACACCTTGCATGGGATTGAAAGTTTAGCAAGGGAGCTCAATGGCACTTTCACTTGGATCAGAAAGACTGCAAATGACATGTTTGTTTTTTTCCGGTAAAACAAATGGCATGGTTGACACGCTAGCAAAACAAGGAGTTTACAGACATCTTTTCTGGGAAGTTTTGTAATGTGTTCCTGTTTGTTATAATCTGTTTTTCAATTTAATAAAATTTATCCTTCTTTACTAATAAAAAAACAACTTTGGCCAGTCAACTTGGAGTGGAAAATTTGATAGTTGAGGGGGACTCCCAAGGTAGTAGTGGGCTGGCTGACAAATCCAGAAACAGTTTGTTGGGGTTACAGGGATCTTTTAAAGAAAGTTAACTGGCTAACAAGAAACATGACGGTTAGGATTCAGTGGGTTAGCAGATCGGCAAATGCAATAGCTGATTCTCTGGCTAAACAAGGGATATCAAGGGGAGACCTGTTTTGAGCTACGTTATAATTTTAATTCAGGCTTGTGTGTGTTATGTGCATATTGTTCAGTCCTAGGGGGAGGTAACACCTCGTGCCTCCCCTCTTAGGCTGAATGTACACTCTTTCTTTGTTTAATAAAATTGCATTCATTTATCAAAAACAAAAAAGGGGGGGGGGAATAATAGTTGAAGCTATTATGGGCAAGCTTCAATTTAATTCTGGGGTTGAAGTTTATCCTTTTAATGATCGTAGTCCATAGAGCTGTTCTGTTATCAGGGGAGAGGACGATTGATTTCCGAATGTTGGATACTAGCAGAGGGTGGTTTTAGTCCATATTAGACTTAGGCAACTGTTCTTGATTATGTATATGCAACTGAATATATTAAAGAAGTTAGCCATGATTTTTCTTCCTTTGTTTTCATATTCTCTGCATAAACCCCAAAAGGGATCACTCTGAATTTGGGCCTATTGCTAGACCTATACAATTCTTTTTTGTCGTGCTCTTTTACAATTTCAGAAAATTTACATAAGGTTTTGGAATGTCTAGGACATGCATTCACTGGAACTATTTACTTCTTCTGGGCAATATAAAATTCCTTCAATACTTGGATCAGTTTCAGGAAATCAAACTTTCTTGCCTACTTGAACCACAGAAAATAATGGGATTCAGCATTGATTTATGCTGAACTAACTTAATGACAGCAAACTAATCTAATTGAAGTATAATCATTTCTCACAGGCACAGGCAGTTTACCCATATCCAGATCCTTACTATAGAAGTATCTTTGCTCCGTATGGTGCACAACCTATGGTATGTTCACATTTTGCTTCATTGTCTGATAAAACAGATGTTTTTCATCTGATACTGGACTGGTCAGTTGTAAATACAATTTCTGTATATCTTTGTTGATGACTAGTGTCAGATGCACCCTCACTTGATGGGAATTCATCAAGCTGGGGTACCATTGCCATTAGACGCTGAAGAGCCTGTTTATGTCAATGCAAAACAATATCATGGTATCTTGCGTCGTCGGCAATCTCGTGCAAAAGCTGAATCAGAGAATAAATTGATTAAGTCTCGGAAGGTATGTAACAATCTCAAGTAATCTTTCTTAAGTATTATGCAAAGTAGTAGCTTTATATACTTGAATGATTTTTTAATAGTTGATGCTTATCCCGTATTGCCTTTCATCCTTTACATTCAGCTTTAGAACCTGTCTCTGTTTCTCAAATAATCTTTCTTTATACATTATGCAATTAAGCGGGTTTCTATGTTTCAATGATTGTTTAATAGCTATAGCTATTGATACTTGTGACAGATTGTCTTTTCTCCTTTGCTTTTATCTTTTAGAACACGTCTCTGTTACGGATTTTCTCTGCCTGAATGATTGCAACTTTTAGGTTTGTTACGTTAAGTTGTTGATTAAGTTACATTATTGGCCTTTGAAACTCTTGATTGACATTTTGACATACTGTCTAAGTATCATCTAATTATTTCTAATGGATGCTGTTAAACAAATAACTAAAATTATTTTTAATGCCTTTTCTTTCTCAAATGTAGGAGTTATTATTCTGTTTTTGTATATTGTTTAAGGGGTGTGAACAGTGGTATTCTTGTTAGTCTAGAGGAAGTCACTTGAAAGGGTTATAGTGGTTTTTTTATTGTTTTAATTTGTGGTCCATCATGTAACTTAAAGATGCCATGAGTTGAGGTCATGGGTCTAGTATTTGAATCAATAGTGCAATATATCACACAAATAGTTACATGCTATATGATATTCTTTACAAATAATATTACACTTGAATGTTGTGGATAAATGGTTAGTTCCTTAACTTTTAAAGCAAATGACTGGGGTTCAAGCCTCTTTAACTCATATATATAAAACAATATACATTAAAGAGGTAATTAAGTACAAATGAAGGAATGGATTAATGGCAACAAGAGATTACACATAAATAAAAGGTTATGGTTGAACTCCTACATTAGTGTTTTGAAAATTCCATTCAATTAATGACCTGAGCGGTTATATAAAACTGGGACTGGTTCATCAGTTATCTAGTTAAATCGGCCGGTCAGCCAGTTTTGACCATTGTTTCATTCCAGTTTTAGGGTATGACCGAAATGGCCAGGGGCCTTGTCAGGTTCAGTTTGACCATTTGTTCATGAACTCTGTTTTTTAGTGTATGACTGAACTGGCCAGGGCCCGGGTCATGGTTCAACCGGTCCAACCAGCCAGTCTATTCTGGTTTCCTAAACACTGATTTGAATCCCGTGAGATYTCTTTTCTCTCCCACTTCTTTTCTCTCTTGTATGTACTTTCTCCTCTTGTCTTTGTGTTACTGGTTTGTCCTAGGGTCAATAAGAATAGAACATGGTATCAAAGCATTAGAATCTTATCTGATTGACTTTCTCATTCTTTTTGTTCAACTAGAATTTGATTAGACTGATCTCTATCAATGTTTTTGAACCGTGCTGACCTGGATGGTCAGACCGTTCGGCCCGGAAACCGTCCAAGCAACCGGTTCCGTTTCACCCCTAACCCATTTTTGGGTAAAAAATTGTTGACTTTGTCAGAAAACCGCTGACCTGGGCAGTCGAACCGTCGACTCGTTTGATCCGGATAGCAGTTTGTGGTTTAAGAAAGTTGCAGAGAGGGGAGAAACTGAGAGTCTGGGACACAAACTTAGATCTGAAATCCAGCAGAGAGAGAGGGAGAGAGAGAGAGAGAGAGAGACAGAGAGAGAGAAGACAACGACTACAGACGTAGAGAAATTGATCTCAGATCTGAGATCCCACTGCCTCGCCGGTAGCATTGAATCCTCCTCCTCCTCTTCCTTCTTCTTCCCTCCTTCCTTCCTTCCTTTCCTTTCCTTTCTCTCCTTTTCTTTTTTTCCTTTCTCCTTCCTTTCTTTCCTTCTTTTCTTCTTTCTTTTTTTCTTTCTCAGCCGACAACAGTCTCTTCTCCTGTTCTCCTTTCTCATATAAATATTTTCCCTAATGCAGACCGTCCGAACCATTCGACTCGGAAACCGGTAGCTAGAACGGTTCCGTTTCCGGRTCGGTTTTTAAAACCTTGATCTCTATAGGACAACAATCAGATTAGAGCTATTCTAATTGAACATAGATTCAGGTTTTCTTTCTTATTCTATATGTGATTGATATATGCTGGTGCTATGGTGTAATCCCTCTATTTGGTATCCAAAGAGGGTGTGACTGGTGTGTGGTAAGCAGATTTCTATGGGCAGAAAGGTTCTCGACTTCTTGGAAGTGACAGGTAATTGTGATTGAATATGTAGAAATATTAGGCTGGATGGTTAATAATTTGATTCAGATTTATTTTATTGCTTTTTTGTGTTAATGGCCTTTAGTTTCATTGGCATGCTAACCTTTTTTTCTTTAAGTATTAGAAGCAACTGCCCCATCAAGGGTATTTATGTAATTATATATTTTAATTTAAATAAAAAATTTTGGGGGCTGGAGAGAGTTTTATCGACTCTTCTTTTTCTCTCTTCTCTTCTCTTCTCTTGCATTCTTGCTCTCTTGGCCGAGATAATTATTGGACTTCTTGGCCGAAACCTTAGCTAATTGGAAATTTTGAATAAAGGGTCCTAGATGGGGTTCCAACTTGGCACTCAAGGTTTGAAGGGATTCTTTTTGATCCCTATAGAGATTGATCCAAGTAGAACTGGATTCTAGAAGTTCTATAAGGGGCGGCTAGATTTTTATGTTTTCTCTGGGTTTCTATGGTGAAATGACAGTTCAAGGATCTTGTCGAGGTCGGTATTATTTGTTATCTTTTTTAGTCATTCTTATTTTCTATTTGAAGATTGTTCCTTGAAGTTTTAAAAGTAATGGAGCACTCTGAAGTAGATAATAGATATCAAGCAAAGCTCTGAGTCCTCTACTGGTTGTGACCATATTGAAGCTTGATGGAACCAATTATTTGGCTTTGACACAGTCAGTGATAATATATGTTTGTAGTAGAGAAAAGTGTGGATATGTCTCCACTCTCCAGTAGTAAGAAGGAGCCAAAGCAAGATGATCCCTCCCACGAGAAGTGGATGTAAGAAAATCATACTGTTATTGGTTGGTTGGTGAACTCAATGCAACCTCGTATCAGCCAACATTACTTGTGGGTAAACTCTGCAAAGGATATTTGGGATAGTGTTGTCTCTTTGCAGAGACGTACTCCCAGAAATTGAATGTGGCTAGAGCATATAAGCTGAAAAATGGTGTGGATAATTTACAACAGGAGGAGAAACCATTAGCCGTTTATTATTGCTGAAATTTCTATGGCAAGAGATTGGTATGATGGAGGTAATTGTTTAGGAGAGTAAAAACGATGTTGAAACATATAGAGAACTTGTGGAAAGAAACTGGGTGTTTGAATTTCTTACATGGCTGAATACAGAATATGACATCACTAGATAGAATATATTGGCAAATGATGATGTAGTTCTCTCTTAGGCTTATTCTATGGTGAGTAGTGAGGAAGTAGAAGGCAAATACAATTTCAAGGAGTAGTTCAATTGACCACTTTGCTAATGTAGGGGTGAAACCTAAGGCAACTAAAGAAATGAAAGATGTTATATGTGAATATTGCAAAAAGCCAAAACATACAGGGACAACCCCTAAAAGTTGTCCCTACTAGATGTTGCTAAGCAAAACCAAGGACAATCCATAAAAGTTGCTTTTGGATCTTCCTCTTCAGAGTCCACTGGTCATATTATGTTATGTCATTTTTGTCTAGGTCATTTGTCTTTTTTCAGCTTTCAGTCATTTATTTCTTGAATTGTTTAAAGGAGTCTGTTTGTCAAGTTTGCATTGTGAGCCATGTGAGTTTTTGGAGCATTGTAGAAACACTTATCTTTTGAGTAATAAAAGATCTACTTTTTTTTTTTCATATTTTGCATTTTGATGTGTGAGGGCTTTGCCATTTATCTTCCATGAGTGCCTATCGATATTTTATTTTGTTCATTGATGATTTTTTGTAGCATTGTAGAAATACTCATCTTTTAAGTAACGAAAGATCTACTTTTCCTTTTTATGTTGTGTATTCTGATGTGTGGGGACTTTACCATTTATCTTCCATGGGTGGCTATTGATATTTTATTTGATTTGTTCACGTGATGAAGTCCCAAAGATTGTGAAACAATTTCATGAGTTTATCCTTACCCAATTTGATACTTGTATCAAGATATTCCAGCCAGATAATGCAAAGGAATATTTTGAGAAGAGTCTTGTTTCTTATCTTGATAATTTTGGGGTCATTCACGAAAGCTCTTGTGTACACACTCAACAACAAAATGGAGTTGCTGAATGGAAAAACCGTCATATTGTTGAAGTAGCTAGAAGCATTTTATTTGCTTCACATGTTCCTATCAATTTTTGGGGGGATGTTTTTTACAACAACTGATCTTATCAATCCTATGCCATCCAAAATCGTGGGTTTCAAGTCTCCCTTTTGCCTGTCGTTTCCAAACAAAGACCTCTTTTCTCTTCCTCTTTGTGTCTTTGGTTGTACTTGCTATGTTCGTATCCCCTATTCACAAAGGCACAAATTTGAACCAAAGGCCTACAAATGTATATTCCTTGGAAGAAATTATTGCTTTCCACAAAAGTCATACATGGGAGTTGGTTGATTATTCAGAAGACAATGAACTTGTTGGGTGCAGATGTTATTGTTTACACAAACATTTGAAACATTAGGTTGAGAGTTCTATACAGTGGTGTAAAACCAAGTTCGTGGCCAAAGGATTTACATAGAAGTATGGGATTGTTTACACAAAGACATTTGATTCAATCGCCTAGATGAATTCCATTAGAATTTTATCTCTTGAATCTAACTTCTCTTGGCCACTACATCAAATGCACATGCTGATGGTTGTATTCTCCTTGAGTTTTGAAGCTGCAGCTGAAGGAGTTCTTAGATATTTGAAGAAGTGTCCTTGGAGATGATTTTTGTTCACTAAATCTAGCCATTTTAAGTGTAGAGGTGTATATAGATGTAGATTGATTGGGTTTGATAGTGTATATATAATGTCTATAGATGTTTCATAAAAAAAAAAAAAATAATGTATATAGATGTAGAGGTGTAGATTGATCTGGTTCTATAGTTAATGTCAACTAGGAACTGTACATGGAAAAGCAAGAAACAAATGGTAACTGCAAGGTTGAGTCTAGACCCTAAATATAAGGTCATGGCACAGTGTGGCAAAAATTCTTTCTTGGGACAGTTGGGGTGTCCAATTCTTGGAACTATATCCCTTGCTATGATATAAGGTGGAACTATGTCCCTTTACATGGCTAGCAATTAGCTGACATGTTTATTTAAAGTGTAACTACTCTGTAGCATGTTGTGTGACAAGTTGGCTATGTATGATGTATTCCCCACATGAAGGGGAGTGTTTTAAAAATAAAGTACATGCCAAAGGGGTAGTATGGTATTTTTATCTGTTATTATCTCTCCTAATGGCTGCCACGACTCACTATTTGACCTTTCAAACATTTTCTATTCTGTTTTCATTTGTTTTTCTAACAGGTGTTCTCCAGAAATAGGTTCAAATCTTTATTCAACTTAATTCTGTAGTTTTTATGATACTGAACTTGAGCCTAAAGGGAAATCAACTCCCACCCCCACCTTCTGATTTAACTTTTATGATACTGGGCTTGAGCCTAAAGGGAAATCAACTCCCACCCCCACCCAAAAGTAAAAATCAGAGATTTTTGTAAAACAAGGCTCAAGTTGATCCTCCAACCTAAGCTTCCTGATTTGTGTCTTTATTGATTGGTTCAAACTGTCTGTTGAGTTGGTCTGTCCATTTGGTATTTTCTACTAGGTTTTTGAACAATGTTCAGAGAACTGGACTGGGCATAGGTCTGGTAAAGGGGGATGTTCACAGCTCAGAGGTTCAACCACAGTCAAACCGGAGGTTGAACCATGATGACATAATATATATTGCAAATTACATCAATACCATATATAATATATTTTACTAATGTTTTTGTACTTGAATGTAATGGTTAAAACCTTACATTTTGTTTAAAAAACATGTGCATTAAAGCCATATATACATTAAAGGGTCATAAATGTACAAAAAGGATTAATGGCAATAAGATGATACACACAATAGAAAGGTTATGAGTTCAAGTCTTGCCATTAACATTTTGAAACTTCATTCATTTGGTGACTGGATGGTTCTATAAAACCGGGACCAGTTCACTGGTTTTCCGGTTAAACCAGTTTTTCATGAATTATGGTTCTTAGCATATGACTGAACCAGTCTGGTTTGGTGTTCTAAACAGATTTTTTGAAGGCTGAAATAGGAGTGAAATCCCTCCGGTTTCAGGTTTACTTATGTATTGGTTTATTGTCATAAATCAATGCAGTGTACTACAAAAAAAAAAAAAAACTATATATTTCATCTTTAATTGTAGAAAATCAGTGAAATCCCTCCTCCCCTTTTCTCCTTTCTTTCTTTATGTTTATTACAAAATGGATGGTGTTTAGTGAATTTTGATTTTAAATTGTTCATAGCCTCTCAAGTATTGAAATCGATTTCTCGCTAGATGTTGCATACTTTATTGAAATTCCTCGTTAAAATCTCTTTAGAAGAATTTTTTTTTTGATTAATAATCTCTTTAGAAGATATTGAATATTGTTCCCTGAAATAGTATCTCAATATCACACTGAAGTGATGCAAAGGTGCTTACATTTATGTTCAGTTGGTCAAAAACATTTTTGCATGAAGCAGATGGACATTGAAAACACAAACAGTACTATTGTAGCTGCACAGCGTTTTTCTCACTCTATATGATCTTCTGGCACAAAGCGATAAGCAATTGGAACTATTCTTTGCAGCCTTACCTACATGAATCTCGACATTTACATGCTATGAGAAGAGCGAGGGGATGTGGAGGCCGCTTTCTCAATGCCAAGAGTAGTGAGAAACAACAGAGTAAAGGGGCCTCAGGTGATGAAGCGCAATCAGATGCTAATCTCGATTCCAATAAAATCCAACAAGCTTCCTCAGAGACGGCATCTTGAAAACCATGGAGGCAATGTTTACACTGCAATAGACATAGCAGTAGTGTGTCTGGCAAAACAACTTTTATATCAATAGCCAGAGGGATTTGATGCGTCTCGGTATTGCTGGCTTACAAAAGTGTTGTTCTAGATTTTCTCCAGGGTAGTCAGATTTGGGTGTGTATAGTTCTTTTGGTAATTTCTTTTTAGATAACTTGCTACTGGGAGTGAAACAGATTGGTATTCCTAGAAAATCAGTTTATTGTATGCTCGGGCAATGGATTTTTCTAGTTTAGTGACTTCACACTGTTCTTCCAGTGCAGCAGCTGTATAGATATACAGGTTTAATGTTAATACAACGTTGAATATTGGTTGGTTCTCTGGTAATGTTCTAGTAGCTGATCATTTCTTGTCCGTATTGAAGCCTGTATATATATCTATATCTATAACTATGTACACTACTATTATCTGTCTATAAATTATCTATAAATATCCCTATAGGCTTTTGGATTTTTTCATAACTATAATACCCCTTCTTTTGAACTTGTTCCTCTCTATTGTGAGGACAAAAATTGTAGTTTAGATAGTACTTTTCGGTGCATCCCATTCCCTCAGTCTTTACATTTAAGGCATTTAACTCCCATTGTAACCTCATCGCTGACAAAAAAAAAGTCACATCCCATCTTTAAGATATTTTTGTCTTTCATTATTAACTTCCACTAAGCATTAATAAATAATAATATCTAAGGGTTTTTGAATTTTTTCTTTGACTATGATTATTTCTAATCTTAAGCTTGGTGCATCTCAATTTTGAGGGAAAAATTGTAATTTACATGCTACATTTTAGTGCATCTTATTCCCCAAGTCCTTTCTATATCATGATTTTTATCTCATCATTAAATTCCATTAATTAGATCCATGAACACTAATAAATAATAACATGCAAGGGTTCTTGGATTAATTAGATCCATCATTATTCCCTCGTTAAGTCCATTCTATATCATGAATTTTATCCTTAAGGTGTTGTTGTATTTCATCATTAAATTCTACTAATTTTTAAAATCGACTTAAAATGAATTCGGTTTTTCTAGGTGAAGTCATGATGTTATAAGGAATTCAATGTTCCTGGTCAAATAAGTGAAGTCATGATGTTATAATGAAATGCTAAAAATTTAAAATTAGATAAAAATACAGAAATAAAACAAACCTTAGAAAAGTTTGGGAAATATATATTAAAAGAAGTAAGTCTTGAATTTTTTGTTTTTTTTTGATTTTTTATCGCATGTTATTTTTGAAACAACCAATGAGAAACTCTCATTTTCCCATGAAAATCTTCCTAAAATCTCTCATTCTCACTCGTATGTTTTCATTAATCAAAATAATATTCTCTCCTAAAATTTCTTCTAAATTACATTTCCCATCTAAAACTTCCTCCTAAAACATCTCCTAATCTATCACACAATAAATCATCTAATGCTAACACCCTTCTCTCTCTCTCTCTCTCTATTAAAATATTAATGTTTAAGTCAAAGCACTTTTCAAAAAACAGTTTTAAGTTTAAACATTGAAATAAGATGAGTAAAAAATATCTAAAATACTAATAAGAAAAACTAATAAATAATACAATAAGACAAATAATAAAACTAAAGTAATAAAAATTAGTAATTAATTAAAAATATTATTTTAATTATAAATAATATTTTTAAGTTGTCATTGTAAAATTTAATAATTAATTGTATATTTATAAATAATAAAATTTATTTCAATTTAAAAATGATTAATATAATAGAAATTTCATAATCATTTATTGTTTTTAATTTTACCAATAATAATTGTTAAATTTAATTACATTAATATTATACTTAATTTGTAATAAAATGTTCTAACATTATTAAAAATTTTAGATAATAATAAACTTAGCATAATATCATAACTTAAATTACACAGCAGTAACAATTTATTAAAAAATTAAAACTTAGTTAAAGTAAAAATTATTAATTTAAACAAAATTTAAATTTAATTTTAAAATTATAAAAAATCAATAGAACAAATCCCGTTTAGTACATGTTTGCCTTCACCCTATCTAGGCCCTTCAATTTGCCACATCATCGAGCTCTTAACTGGTTACATCACCCTACCTCCCACTTCACCACCATAACAAAGGTGGAAACTTTCCAAAAATTAAACATATAGGATAATTAAAATATTAATGTATTTTGATATTTTTAGTAATTAATTATTTATAAATACATAAATTTAGAAAATTAATTTATTCAGATAAATTTATTTATCATTAATTATCGTTAATTAATTATTTATGTATCGTTAATGATAATTAAAGAGATAATTATTAGTTAATGATTATAGAAATAATTTGGAGTTAATAATTAATGAAAATTATTGATATTTACTTAAGATTAAAAATAGTTATCTGAAACATTTGGATAGAATTTGTTGAAAAGTGTAGAAATTTTCAATAAAATGTAGAATTTGCTGATTATCATGGATATTCTGAGGAAAATGCATATACTTGCAATTTGAATATACGGTAATACACAAAATCGTCAACACATAACATGCATTTATACATTAATGACTATTAAATATATTATTTAAGTGATTTTTTTACTTTTTTCCACAGTTTTTTTGTCTACCTTAAGCTTTGTGCCATCATCAACAAGTAAGACATTGAAACTTTTTTGTTTTTGAAATTGTACATTTTTTAATCATGCGGCATAAGTTTTTATTGGACTTCAATGTTATAAATTTCTTTGATGGTAAATTTTATTTTTGTTTTGTATGATATTTATTTTTATTGCTTATGAATACCAAATATTACTATTTTTATATGTTTGCACTATGTGAAGAAGACAAACTAAGGATGAGAGGAAGGCTAAGTTGATGGGCAAGGACTCAAAAGGTCCAAAGCAAAATCGTGATGGGCTAAGTTGATGGGCTAAGTTGATGTGAAGAAGACAAACTAAGGATGAGAGGAAGGCTAAGTTGTTAAGCAAAATCGTTTTTTTTTTTTTTTTTTTTTTTCTGTTTGTTGTAGTTATATCTAGAAGTATTTGAACTTAATAGCCATTTTTATTTAGGTTGGCATTTTCTTATACGATACCAAGAATGTGAATAAAACTTTGAAGACTAATTTTTGGTTAAACAAAGAAAAATTACTTAATAACTTAATTAACTAATTAAATGTAATAACTTAATTTGTTATACCATTCTCAATTACAAATTCATTAAGAAAAACTCAAAATTAAGTAACAAAACTTTAGCAAATATTACATTAACAAAGTTCACTTAACAATATTATAATAATTCTAATTAATTATAACTTGGATAAATTTAAATTACTTTTAATTATTTCAAATAAATTTGATTAAACATAACTACATTAATAAAATATAAATTTAATTAATTAATAAATATAAGTTCAAATCTTAAAATTTAATAAGTTTTAAAATATTAATAAAATTATTAACCTTATTAATAATTCATAATAGTTAATAAAACTCATTGACCAAAAAGTAATACTTGGTTTGGACTTGAACCAGTACAACCCAATTGGAAATGTCACAAGGCTTTTTTTTTTTTTTTTGCTTCAATTTCTCTTAACAAAAAAGACTTCTTAGATTGCTCTTTTGCTTCAATTTTAATTCCCTCCATCATCGTATTGGATAGCGGCTTTTCCTGTGCATCACACGGGGCCCTACTAGTATTATATATTTGTCATATTTAACAAAAATAAGTATGATAAATAAAAAACACTTTCTCAATGATAGAAATAGAATACCAAATTTAAAATTGTTAACAAAATTAAACTAGTTACCTCCTTGAGTGGTGGGTGAATTTAAAGTTGATTAAAAATTAAACCAGTTTTTTCCTTGAGTGGTTGGTCAATGGTTCAACCATTCAGATCAATGGATTAACATGTGATATCATAGTTAAATGATAATTTTTTAAATAAAAATATAAAAAATACAAGAAACAAAAAAAATTTAGATACGTCTTTTATATAATATTTTAATTCATAATAAATAAAGAAAAATTGATAAATAAGAAATATTTTTATTAGTGATATAATGAAGTACAAAATTTAAAATCAAATGGGTCAATTGTCCAAGTCAGAAAAATGTTGCACATCTCTAATACTATATAATCATCATATAAAAGAAAATAAGTGCAATAAATAAGAATCAATAAATTTTATTGATGATGGATATGGACTAAACTTTAAAATCGTCTTAGCAATGAAAGTCTTTTTCATTTCATTTATGGGTTGGTTTAGAAATTCAATGGTCTTGTTAACTCATGATGTAATAATTAAATACAAAATAAAAAAAGATACAAGTACAAGAAGCTATAGAAAACAAAGGAATTATATAGAAAAACAAGAAGACATCCCTAATATATACATTCATCATATTATACAAAAATGTGTCATAGACAATAACTTTTATTAATGATGGAAATGTGTAAAAATTTTAAAATGGACACAAAAAAAACCATTTTATTGTTAGGTTAAATGGGCCATCGCATTATGTTGTAATTAAATAATACAAATTTATAATTAGATCGACATATAAGGGATTATAGAAAATATAGAAATTTTGATATTATCATCATCGTCATCATCATTATTATGAAAAGTTTCACGTGTCTTTTTGACTTTTTCTTAGATAAAATTCCCCTATTTTTCAGTTCTGCCCCTTTTTTATGAGATCAGAAATTGTAGTTTAAATAATATTTTTTGGTGCATTCCCTGAGAAGTCACATATCTCAGGCATTAACCTCCATTCTTTTCATTGAATATGTGTGCGATCTGGTYCGATGCCTAAGTTAGTGAAGAATGATTGTGGATGCTAGAAAGCAAGAGAGCAAGAGAATTCTGAGAGCTAATCACACATCCCTTCTCTAGTTGGAGGGGACGCTTGCCTTTATATAAGGGCAGGCAGTCGTGAGCTTCATGTAGCACATATGAGATCTCTGGGAGGACATGGTTTATCGGCCTGCCACGTTCGGAGGTGGCTTTATGCTCGAACACGGTTTTCGCGTAAAAAGATAAAGTTTATCTGATTACCTCCGAAGCGGGTGGTGCGGGAGCCGGCTCCATCGGTGAGGTGACATGATCCTAGAGGATTTGGAGATGATAAGTCACACGTAAAGGAGGTCGGTCTCCACGTCATGTAGGTCACCAACTAGGCCTCAATGAGGTCGGTGGGACCTCGGTAGGAAGTCACCCTTCATATTGAGGTGCCTACAGGTTGGCCCTACTGAGGTGGTGCCAAAACGCTCTCATAGTGTGCGAGGTGTGTCCGAGGTGCATCCATGGTGAACTCTATCATCTTGGCAAAGGCAAGTCATTGCCTACGTAGCATTGA